ATATATAAAATCTATAAAGTAACAAATACATATTAATTATTACTCAAATTATTATTTCAGTCGTTCTTAATGTATCAAGCATCTGTATGCAAAGAAAAGCCAAAAACTATGGTTTTTATCATTAAATGAAGATATAGCCTAAAGGTGCTTTGCAGGCTTTAAGGCATAACCAGGTTTCAGTTGCCCCCCCCCCCCTCACCTGTAGGTGGGCTTGTGTATCTTGAATACTTTCTGAACATCTGATATCTTTTGATGCAGACTTAAATAGTTTTGTATGATCATTAATTTTGAACATGCTAGTGATGAATGGTTAAAATGTGTAACAATCTTTTTTTCTGACCATTATGAGCTACATGTCAGAGATTCCAGAGCATTCAGGATCACAAGCTATAACTTGACAAGTAAATGACTTGCTTGACAATTCAGCATCATTAAAGAAGTTCACAATATTAACTACATTGTTTTATTTAAAGTTGGATAATTAGTGAAATTTGCTAAGAGATTAATAATCAGGTTCATAAATTGATTATTCTAGTGTGAGACTAGTCTTCTTATTTTTAGTTTTTTTTTAAAGATATTTTCAAATTACCTTTCATTTAATATGATAGACATGTTCAGGTAAAATAGTAAAGGATTAAGCTACTTTTCAATCCTATACTGTTGTATATGAAAATGTATTATATATGCAATATAGTACAGAACCTGTAACAAGCTAAAAATATGGTTAATACCATTCTGTGGGATTCTTCCCAACAGATGTTCACAAGACTATTTTACTAAAACTAGATAAACTAATTATTTGCTAAAAATAATTGTCCTTAAATTTTTTATGATAACACTAGTAAAGGTTTTTGTCACAGTGTGATAAATAATATATAATTCAGTGCAAACAAATTAACTCAACTCCGAGAAAAACAGACAGTAAAATATTTACTATTTGCAAGAAAACTTGTGATGATACTAGATGCAAAGATTGAAATTGTTCATAAAATGGTAATTGAAGTTTTATAAGAAATACTAAAAT